AGTCATGAACTTATCCTTTTAACTCGATACTCAAAATGATCCAATTTGAAAAACTTGAAATCCGAAATGATCCAATCCAAAGTTCCAAACCCAACCAATTCCACCTATTTGCCAAGTCTATTCAAAATACTAAGAATCAGCTCAAACATTTTGAACATAGTAATACTAAAGAGGACCACAATCAACCTATAAAAATGCAAGCCTAAATCCCTAAATCCTAATTAAAACAACAAAACCGAGAGATAACGCACAAAGATTAGCATTAGCAAGCTGTAAATTGATGAAAAAATAAAAATTCAAGCAGCACCCATTTAAAGAGTCTTCTGAATTTGGTTTAGGTGTGGTACCAACAAGACTAAATTGATGAAATTAGTGGCCTGAAAGATGAAGGCAGCAAAGTAAAACCGGTAAACTTTTTTCCGTTTTCCGACGAATTCCAATCAATCATAACTCCGAAAAACCAGAAATCAGGGACAACCGCCGATTGAATTTTTCTAATTTTGAGAATAAGAAACTCACCGCCGGTTGAATTCGGGGAGAGGGAAAACTCAGCTGAGAAGGCTAGCCGCCCACGCGCGAGAGAGAGTGAAAACCCGAAATCCAAGAACGCTGCGTTTTAACGCTTCTCTCTTGTGAAATGTCAATATTGGCCCTTATTAGTCAGTACAGCTAACCCTGGTTCTTAATCGTAGGCACAGACCAGACCACCACATGATGGATTAGTTTTTATTAACTGTGTTTTTTATTATTATTATTTAACATTTGGAGGATTAGTTGCAGGAACGGAGCCAATACAGGACAAGGAGGGGCAGCTGCCCGCCCTGAGCTTTTGAAAAATTTTAAAGATGGTACATTAATTTTTATTTTCTACAAAAGTTTGTTTTTTCAATTTTTGAATTATTAGAACCATTTCAAATATAAAGAAAACATTTAAGACTTAGGTAAAGGAATCATTTCCCTCTTTGTGATTAATTTTTAAGATATGATAATTTGGTCTAAGTAAGAAAAAAATATTAAAATTAATCAAAGATCTAGTTAATTACATTGATGTAACTTATATAAATTTTTATATTAATTATATATAATTTTTTTGTACAATTTATATTTTATAAAAATAATGGTTGAATTTATTATATTCAAATAAATCATACATTTCAAATTTAAAATTGTTTTGATATAGATAACCAGTCGAGAAATAAACTATATTTTTATACTATTTATTTAAGGGTTAAAAAGTATATATCATTCAAAAATAGCTAAATATATTTAATTGTATTAATAAAGCTAAATATATCTAATTAATTTAAAGTTTTGCCTGCATAACTTAACTGATACATGCACAAAATTAACTACCAATATAGAAATTAACTAATATAAATTATACTAGCATGAATTAATAAATGAATCACAAAAAATTTTAATTGTTTCCCCCCTAACTTGAATTTTTGGCTCCATCCCTTGATTAGTTGTTTGGTTAATATTGATATTTGAACTTTAACTTTCACTTTAGAGTAAAGATTTTAAATTAGTAATTATCAACTTAATCAATTTTTTATTAGTTTTGTTAACTATATTCATTAAGTGAAATTAATGTATGAATTTATATATATGAGTCTCGTATTTTATAATTTTATATAATACAAATTGTAAAATAATATTTCGTGTATACTTTTACTCCTTTAAGCGGCTATTTGTTACTCCCTCTGTTTTAATTAATGTTATATTAATTGTTGTTGTTTTTACCATATATTTATTCCTTTAAGAAGCTATTCATCTTAAAGAAAAAGAAAAAGAAAAAAAAAAACCTATACAATAGTCATAAAAAAAAACAAAAAACTATGCGATGGGATAATAAATGTATGAGTTTAATTGTTATTTTATAGTTTGAATTATAAAATGAAAATTTTTAACTAAAAAAATATTTTTTAATATTAAAGAATTTATTCTTTATTCAATAGTTAATATTTTATAATTTATAACAATATAAATTATGAAACAATTTTTTGTAAATACATTCCCTCCGTTTAAAAGTTTAATTTGAGGTTTGCATTTTAGAGTTGAAAACTCTTGTTGAGACACTCAAACTAGTAGCCACCTTTCCCAACAAACCCACCTTCAAAAGTTTTTTTTTTTTTTTTCTTCATTGTGATGTTAGGTTAGATAACTTGGATGTTATGTATAATCATCATAAAATTGACCTAATATCTACAATATTAGTAAAATTTACCTTTGTTCTAAATTCGTGCTAGTTTATATTAAGTATGTATTGAAGATATTAATTGAGTTTGGGATTGTAGTAAAATATTGTTGTAGTTACTTTTTAAGTTTTTTATAATTATAAAATATTATATTATTATTTAATAATTACTTTAAAAGATTAATATACATAATATAATTATTAAATTATACAAGACATTTATTAAAATTTATTTAATCACAACAAATTTACACTTGTACTCTGCAAAAAAAAAAACCATTAAGTAACTCCAAAAACAAGTGTTTGTCATATGGACGGTCCAAAAGTTGACTCATTCTTAATTGGAGTCTTTGTCAAAGGTAAGGTGGCATCAGGGTAGTTCCAAGATCTAATGTGAGTTATTTCCACGGCACTGTCTCGTTTCATCCATCTCAAACCATACAGCAATTTCTTAGCTCCGGCGGCGGATATGAAGCAGATTTCGTAATTAATCTCCATTCCCCTTTTTAAATTTTTTTTTTTTTTAAATTTCTTAGTATCTATCTATATTTAACATTTTGATGCTGTATTATTTCTCCTCGTTGTTGGTATTTATTAATTTTAATTAGACTGTATTTTCCTTTCTGCAGGAAAACTTCTACTGTAGGAATTATAATAACAATAGTCCTAGCCATTTTCATGAGCAAATATGGTCCCTCGTTTAAAATCAAAAGTAAGAGCAAAATCTAATTCGCGTGTTTTCTTCTTCTGCTTCATCTCCCTTAATGGGTTAATTTTTTTGCGTACAGAGGAGGTTGAAACTGCGGTGGAGACAGCAGGACAGGTTACAGATGTAGTAGAAAAACTGGCTGGGGATGTGGCGAATTTGGCCGGACTGGTCGCCGATCAGCTGCCGGAAGACGGGCAGGTTAAAGATTTTGTGACGGATGTTCAAAATATAGCCAAAGTAGCAGCCGATGATGCAGATCTAGTCGGAGACGTGATTGAAAATGTTTCGTTTCACCTAATTCCTTGCTTTTCTTGGTTTCCTTGTTTCATTCTTATTATGCAATCAAACGATTTAATGTGATAATTAATTATGTGCGGAACTAAATTGCAGGTGGGGAGAGTGAAAAAGGAGATTGAGACGGCGGAAACGGCGGAACAGGTTGTGGATATCGTAGGAAATCTGGCGGAGGAAGTGAATGTGACGAAAGAGGAGTCGGATCAACTACCGGAAGGTGAACGAGTTAAGAATCCAGGTACGGTAGATGATGATGTGGCCGAAGAAGCGATCCACAAATCACCGGCGGTGGAAGAAGCCATTGAGAAGGTTCACCTCACTACTTACTTTCCCCTTTCCATATATTACCTAGAAGTAAATATTAGTTATAATTTCTAAAATTAATTAAAATTTTAAATTGAAATTATTTTATTTTATTAAAATTTAAGTAAAAATTTTAAAAATTATTTTATTAAATATTAATATTTTGTGTTAAAAACGGATTATATTAGAATATATAATAGATTTTTAAATTTTGATATCAACATTTAATAAGATAAATTTTCAATTTTTAAATATTGGTTAGAACTTTAATTATTTTTAATAGTCATGCTATTACACATTAATTTTTTATGATTATTTGTTTAAAATCTTGTTTTAAATAAATGAAAAAGTGTTTTGTAATTAATAAATTATAAAATATTAAAAAAAATACATATCAATTTCAATTCTTAAAATAAATT